CCAGTTCACAGGCCAGTCTCAAGCGCCCAGGGCCATCCACACTCCTGAACAACTGTCTATGCACCTGTGTATAAGGCCAGACAGAGACTATCCCAATTCCCATTCTTTGCCTCAGGAACAATTGGCTGAATAGCTTTGTCTTGACTAAACTGATGAGCTTACACAAAATACCTGTGAACCCACACTTTTAAGTTTCTTTCCTTCTTCCAGGTCCCTGAACTTCTACCACCTGCAGTAGCCTGAACAAGAACCCAACCCCACCTTTATGACCCCTCCTAAGAACAGACTGATCTCAGGAAAAAATATTCTCTAATCTAGCATCTGATTTTGCCCCCCTCCATCCTGCCCTCTCACTCCCACTTTATTACTAATCTAGCTTGCTCCTCCCTATGAAAGAAAACCCTACTCTACCTAAGCTTTGAGATGCTTGCAAATATTATACTTGGTGCTTTCCTCCTACTGCTACAATACTGCATTCAAGTAAAGTCACTTCTTACCTAAATCTGGATTTGTTTTATTTGAGGGCGTCTAGGAACAGCCCCAGGGCAATAATAATCACACCCACAGAAAGGGCATCAGATCCCACTCCCAACCCATCTGCCTATGGATCCCCTAGGAAATCTGCAGCACAGCCCTGCCAGGAAGAACTAAATGGGCCTTCAGTGACCTCCCTTTAGAGGCTCAAGATTGGCCTTAGCTTGGAGTCACTGGCCTAAGGCCTCTGCTCCCCATCAAAGGGTAGTCATTTATTCTTTTTCTCTATTCGACAAGTTTTTATTGGGTTATCTATCCTGTACCAGGTACCAGTCTAGGTATTGGGGAACAAAGACTAATAAGCTCCCTGCAATCAAGGAACTTATGATCATATGATAACATAAAACAAGCAAACATTTTTAAACGTCAACCATGTTAGTCAATCTATTGCAAGGGGATCTTGACCTGGAAGACAGTAATTGTGGGAAACAGTAATAGCTGACACCCAGTGCTCTAATTCAATCTTCGCAGCAACCCTATGAGGTAGGTATAATTATCTTGTAAGTGAGGAAACTGAGGTATGGAGAGGCAACGTCACAGAGTCAGTCAGTGGTGCGGCTTGGATTCAAACCAGAGCAGCCTGATTTCAGAGCCTGTGCTTAGCCATTTCTCTCTACCTACAGGGTGAGAAGCAGAGTATGGAAAAAGGGAAGCCACCCTCCTCCAGGCAGAGTCAGAGTAGAGGAAGCTTACCTCTTACTAGGTGGCTCTGCCCCCAAAAGGGTTAATTCCTTCCCCTGCATCTGCTTTCTATGATAATAAGAAGTCTCTTGCTTTACAAACAGGCGCTACTCACAAGAGTAGGAGAAAGGACCAGAGCTCTGCAGAGGCAAGCTCTGATTGTCACAGTGAGGACCAGCCCATGGCAATACGGGAAGGCATTCAGGTCTTCCCTAGTGTTCTCCTTAGCTGTAAGTGGTAATGGAGTGGTGGTCTGAGTCAAAAAATTCTGGTATCAAATCCTGGATTTGCCACTTATTAGCTCTGGGACTGTGAGCTACCGATTAATTCTTTCTAAAACATAGTCTTCCCATCTGTACTGTGAGCAGACTGAATTACATCCACGCATTCTTCACTCTATGTCGTAGATTCCTTTTCCCTCCTCTGTGACTCTTCTGTCCTTCATTTCTATCAGGTGCTACGTTCTTAAGTCTTGTATCAGAAACTGGTTCAGACGGTAAGGTTGGCAGGCAAGCATTTTCATCACAGAGATCAAGAAAGTGGTAAATGGCTGTGTCTTCATTAGTTAGGAAGCAATCTGGCTACCTCTATCTTTTCCCTTGTAAACCTTTTGACATAAACCTCTTAGATTATCCTGGGATTTTAAAATTAATATCCTGGGATTTTCTAGTTGCTTCCTTTCTGGCAAGTCTGATCTGGCTGGTCTGTAAACAACGCAGCGGTAGGAGTGGGCCGGAGGGCTGGGATGGTGCTGAGGGCCTGATGCCCTCTAGCGGCCAGGTGCAGGGGTGACTGCAGCATCCCTGTGAGGAAGGTTGCAGAGGGATTCTGGTGCCAAGTCAGGAACTAGACCAGTGGTTCTCAGTGTGGTCCTTGGACCAGCAACAGCAGCACCTGGATGGTTTGCTAGAAATGAAATTCTCAGGCACACTTGAAACTCTAAGTCAGAAGCTCTAGAATGATGGTGGGTGGGAGGCTGGGGGGAAGCCTGAGTTTTGTCAAGCCCTCCAGGGGATTCTAATGGACCCTGAAGCTTGAGAACCACAGCCCTCTAAAGTCATTCCCTGAGACTCCCTGTTCTCCTGCCTGTAAACCAAGAAGGGATATGCACAGAACGGCTGTGGAGCTGACCAGGAGAGATGTGCTGAAGGCTGTGTCAGGTATTTGCTTATTTTATTTTTGGAAACAGGGTCTCACTCTTTTAACCAGGCTAGAGTGCAGTGGCGCAATCCTAGCTCACTGAGCTCAATCTCCCAGGCTCAGGTGATCCTCCCACCTCAGCCTCCAGAGTAGCTGGGATCACAGGTGCTTGCCCCCACATCCAGCTAATTTTTATATTTTTAGTAGAGATGGGGTCTTGCTATGTTGCTCACTCTGGTCTCAAACTCTAGGGGGCTCATGTGATCCTCTGGCACTGGCCTCCCTAAGTGTGGGATTACAGGTGTGAGCCAATGCGCATGTCTGGCCCACTTACTTTTAAAGGAGAAAATACCCAGTGTTCAAAAAACCTGGCAAAATCACTCAAACTCACTGTTACGTCTATAGGAGGAAAAGAAATTGAAAAGCATTTGTATTTTACAGCTCAACAACAAAAGCGTTAAGTATCCCTTTCCGACGATAAACATGACATTTAATTATTACTTCCATGACAAATCATTTAGTTAACAACCATATTTGGACACCTTCTTGGTGTTGCCAAATCCTATCCCATAGATTTTAGCATTAATCTCCAAATTCCAGAAAATAGGAAACAGAACAAAGTTACCCAATGTAACAAATTCTCCACCCTGCAAAGGAGAGGAATTGATGCTTTGGTGAATCTTTGTAATTCACAAATTTACCACACTTATTTATGGAAATGTATTCATTTTAATGTAGGCATAATAGGAGGTTTTTCCCTAATTCTATTCCTTTGTAGCATTCCCAAGGGTAAGTCCTGGAATTCCATTTGAAATTACCCAAAAGAAAAGAACAGACTTGAGAAACATACACTTTCTTCTGGGAAAGGAATAAAGGTCATTAAGTAAGAATTATTAACAAGTGAAACATGAGATAATCTTTTTTCTGAAATTCTCTTTCTTGCCTCTTTGTAAATATTTTATCTTTTTTCTCTCTCTCTCTTTCTCTGTCACCCAGGTTGGAGTGCAGTGGCGCAATCTCAGTTCACTGCAACCTCCGCCTCCTGGGTTCAAGCGATTCTCCTGCCTCAGTCTCCTGAGTAGCTGGGACTACAGGTGTGCACCACCACACCTGGCTAATTTTTTGTATTTTTAGTAGAGACAGGGTTTCACTGTGTTAGCCAGCCAGGATGGTCTGGATCTTCTGATTTTGTGATCCGCCCACTTGGGCATCCTAAAGTGCTGGGATTACAGGCTTAAGCCACCGCACCCCCGACATTTTATCTTTTCTATTAAGCTTTACTGATAACATACATTTTACATTTAATGAAAAGTGGGATAAATGAACAAACATTTTCAAAGTGACAAACCGATGGAGAGGCAGTGCTGACCCAGAACACAGGCATGTCTGACTCAAGGGTTAGGTCAGGTCATCCTGTCACATAGGACAACCCCTCATCCTCAGTGAGGTGCTCAGTGACCACCATCCCAAGAAAAGGCAATGCACTGTACATCCCCGTGTACTCAAAGTGCATTTTGCTTTTCTGTTTTCTTGCACTGCCATGCGTGGATGGGTTTTCTCTTGTCTTTCAGTATAGTTTTTCTCCCTTCAGTAGTCTGAGAGAATCCAGAAGGCAAGAATCAATACCCTCAATACCAGCATCTGATTGGCTGGTCCCCCACCCGCCCATCCACAAAGGAACAGAAACTGGGGTTGGGGAAGAAAAGCTGAGTGCCCCAGGGGTTGGCTATTTATTTGAGGGGGATACCAGAAGACTCCTTCCAGCCCAGGGCATCTAGCTGCTTCCCTGCGAGGCCCCAACCCCATCTCTGAGAAGATAACGCAGAAGTTCATAATTCACTAGATCCTCAAAGAGACGTGGCAGCTGAGGGCATCTTGGGTCAACCCTAGGCAGTTCGGAAATCCAGGACCAAGGGAAAGACAGAGGGTGGGAAGACGACACATCACCCAGTAAAGTTTCCAAAAAGGAACCTCACCCAAAGACATTCTGATAAGGTGTCTGTGCCTGGGGAAGATGAAAGGAGAGGCACCAAAGGGTTTTTACGGTAGAGTGTCAGGTGGTTACTCTCTGCTTTCCTCTCAGAGGAAAAGTCCACGAAGAGAAAACAAATCTCTTAAAAAGAGTCATACATTGCTTTGCAGGGAAAAACTAATAAACAATTCTAACACTGTATTTGTTGAAAATGTAGAATGACGGACAAAAAGCTGATAAAGTGGTAAATTGGAGAGGGAAAGCTAGCCTTTGGAAATGCAGCAAGGAGTTTACTCCTCGTCCCTGTAGGAGACAGGGTGGTGTCTTTGGGACCCTGCTTCCCATACATTTAGAAGACTTGGAGGGAAACCAGTACCCCAGGGAAAGATGAGGGAATGAGGATCCCACGGACCACAGCTCCTCCCACACGAGCCCTACACTGAGGCGGGATTCCTCCCATGACCCTCTTGTGACCCCCCCGCACAATCTGGAGAGATGAGGGGCTGTGGGTGCGGGGCTGGGGCCGCAGTGACCACGCAGGGACGCAACAGGATGCCCGGGGTCCCGGTAGCCAGCCCAGACCCACCCTGGGGGCAAGGGGACCAAGGAACGAGCTGCGCCAAGTGGGACTCAAGTCCCAGACCCCAGAGTCGCCGCAGGAAGGCCCAGGTACCTCCACAGCTGGATCCGGCCGGTTCTAACCAGACCCTCCTCCAAGTCTAGGAACTCCAGGCCCCGCACATGCACCATTTCCCCACTTCCAGGTGTCCTGGCTTCCTTATTACGGCTCCTTTGGTCAGAGAAGGTCACAGCGCGACAGAGGATGCAGCGGTGCCACAGGTGGCGTCCTCGGCAGAAATGGCTTGTCCTATCGACTTGTTGACCGTTGTCCAGGTATCCTGGCAGCGCTCCTGATTGGAATGTTCAGAGCACGCCCCAGTGTCGCTGATTGGACAGATTCAGGCTCCGCCCCCTGCATCACAGAAGAAAATATCTAATAGGTGGTTGCAGGGAGTCAGATTGATAGGCTGTAGCCACAGCCAATAGCAGGCCCAGCTTCCTCCTGGCAACCAAACCAGGCTCCGCTGGAGGCACCAACACAATTGTCCACTGGCTTTCCAGAGCTACTCCTGGCCTCTTCCTGTACCCAGTAGGCCCTTTCTGCCTCTTCTAGGTCACAGATATGCACAGGGAATTCCAGACTCAGTGTCCAATGGAGAGATCTCCTTCCCTCAGAGAAAGAGGGAAGCTGAGTCCACACCAGCCCACACTGGAACAGGAGGGAGGGCCTGATGTCCTCCAGGGATCAGGAATTTGAGATGGGGCAGTTGGTGCCATGACCAAGCCTTCCTCTCACCTCCTCTCTCAGTCTACTCATTTTCAGCCCAGAAAATAAAAACATGTCAACGTGGGAATAAAATTAATAAAGGTATGAAAACATTATTAAATGTATAGTTATATGGCAGCATTATTCCATAAGGGAATCCAAAGGAAAGGAAACATTTGAACTAGCTCAGGCAAGCAGCCTTCTACACCCACAGTTCACAAGGACAACCTGCATTCAGGTTTCACATATTCTTAATCTTGGGAGTGAGACTCTGACTACTGACATGGATCCCAGAGTTGTTCAGACCCTCCTGATGAGGGAGGGAAACCTAAGGACTTATCTCCGGGAGCTCAACATGCCTTCATGTACCCTCCACACAGTATGGAAAAGCTGCCTCCTTCAAGACCTTCATTTGCACCTGCAGGAAACTCTCCCCTGGAGTCAGATTAAGGTTCTAACCTACACAAACTATCAAATACATAAACTCTTTCTCCAGGAGACAACCAAATGAGTCTTTATCTGACCCTGACCATCCTAGATTTACTTCATATATACAAATTACAGTTGGACTGCAGTGACCCTATGTGTGCCACAACAAACACACTACCCAGAAAATGGTCCCAAGCCAACTTGAGTTATGGCCTGAGAAAGGATAGAACCCCCTAAACATAGCTTCACACGAGTCTTTTGCTTTCCCAGACTCTGCTTCTCAGAATGTGTACTCCTGCAGCTGTTCTGAGCAAGGGAGGCCACCTACAGATAGAGCAGCTGCCCAGGAAGCCACATGGGGAGCTCCATTTCCCTCCCTTTGCAGGCTCCAGCCTGGCCTCACCTTGGAGTCACTGGCTGCAGGCGCTGGTGACCACTGCAGGTTTTCACCAGCATTGATCAGCTAAATGAGACAAAGACTCTCAATCATACTGTTTGAAAAAGAAACCAGCAGAGCCCCAGGGTTTCTCTTGTGTTTATACATAAAGCTGAGGGAAAAAGTCCTGAAATATTGAATATGCATTAAAACACTGGAGTGGCCATAATGGTTCATGCCTGGAATCCAAGAACGTTTGGAGGCTTACTGGATTGAGCCCAGCAGCTCAACACCAGCCTGGGCAGCACAGGGAGATTCCCCCCATCATCTCTAGAAAAGAACCTAAACTTAGCAGTACATGATGATGTACACCTATGGCTACTCGGGAGGCTCAGGCAAGAGGATTATTTGAGCCTAAGACATTAACATTGCAGTGACTCCAGCATGGCAACAGAACAAGACTCTGTCTCTAAAAAAAACCTTAAATGAATAAAAATATTTTTAAATTGGCAAGTAGGTATTCCTTTGAGGAAAAAAGGAATATTGCTTGAACCTGGGAGGGAGAGGTTGCAGTGAGCTGACATCGCGTCACTGCAATCCAACCTGGGGAACAGAGTGAGACTCCGTCTTAAGAAAAAAAAAAATAGGTACACATTTTTACCTATTATATGAATTTTCCATACCTAAGAAGGTCTTTCCCACCTTTTCTGGATACTATATGCTGCTTAATTTCTTCCCATATTCTTAAAGATTTGTTTCTGGGTGAAAAATGTCTATTTGCTTAAATTATCAGATATATGTGACTGTGAATCGTGTGCAGATGAAATGAAAATTATCCCTCCTCAATAAAGGGAGGTGGTTATCATAGGCCCTGGGTCTGGGAGTGGAGTCCAGGTCTACAGTGCAGCGGGGAGGAGACAGGGGAGTCAATCCTGGGGATCAAATCTAAACGCCTACTAAGATCCAAATAGACTCTGTAGGAACAGGTCCCTCATGGATAGAAAAACAAAAAAAAGGCCTGGCACAGTGGCTCACGTCTGTAATCCCAGCACTCTGGGAGGCCGAGGTAGGTGGATTGCCTGAGGTCAGGAGCTACAGATCAGCCTGACCAATATGGTGAAACCCCCTCTCTACTAAAATTACAAAAATTAGCCAGGCGTGGTGGTGTGCACCTGTACTCCCAGCTACTTGAGAGGCTGAGACAGGAGAATTGCTGAGACAGGAGGTATGGTTGCAGTGAGCCGAGATCCAGCCACTGCACTCCAGCATAGGCAACAGAGCGAGACTCTGTCTCAAAAACAAAAAACAAAAAAACACAAAAGCAAAAAAAGACAGTGCTCAGAACAAGTAGGAAAGAGACCTAGAGGCCAGGCACAGTGGCTCACGCCTGTAATCCCAGCACTTTGGGAGGCTGAGATCAGGAGTTCAAGACAAACCTGGCAAACATGGCGAGACCCGTCTCTACTAAAAATACAAAAATTAGCTAGGTGTGGTGGTGTGCATCTGTAATCCCAGTTACTCAAGAGGCTAAAGCACAAGAATTGCTTGAACTTGGGAGGCACAGGTTACAGTGGGCCGAGATCATGCCAGTGCACTCCAGCCCGGGTAACAGAGACTCCAGCTTAAAAAAAAGAGAGAGAGAGAGAAAGCCCTAGAATATCTTGGTATGCTGAAGGTCCCACAAGGTCTATGCGGTCCTGTAGCCTTTTCCCCCATTTTTGTGGTAAACATACATAACATAAACTTCACCATCATAATTTTAAGGGTACAGTTCAGTGCCTTTAAGAACATTCATACGTGGCTCAAGCCTGTAATCCCAGCACTTTGGGAGGCCGAGGCGGGTGGATCACGAGGTCAAGAGATCGAGACCATCCTGGTCAATATGGTGAAACCCTGTCTCTACTAAAAATACAAAAAATTAGCTGGGCATGGTGGCACGTGCCTGTAATCCCAGCTACTCAGGAGGCTGAGGCAGGAGAATTGCCTGAACCCAGGAGGCGGAGGTTGCGGTGAGCCGAGATCGCGCCATTGCACTCCAGCCTGGGTAACAACAGTGAAACTCCGTCTCAAGAAAAAAAAAAAAAAAGAACATTCATACTAGTGTGCAACCATCACCACCATCCATCTCTAGAACCTTTTTTATCTTGCAAAATTCTAACTCTATTGCCCATTAAATAAGTATGCATTATCCAATTTCCCTAACCTTTGGTAAATGATATTGTACTTTTTCTATCAATATGTTGGGGTTGAGGGGGGTGGCGCTCTGACGGCAGTCACGGTGCAGAGACAGGATAGGACGTCCGGGATTCCGACTCCAGGCCCACACCCACCCTGCAGCGAAGGGGGCAGAGGGGACCGAGGAGGCTAGAGCCAAGCTGTGCCAGTGGGACTCTGGTCCCAGACCCCCCTGAGTCACCACAGGAAGGCCCAGTTCCCTCCACAGCTGGATCTAGCTGGTTCCAACAAGCCCCTCCTCCAAATCTAGGGACTCCAGGCACTGCACATGCACCATTTCCCAGCAACTGCATGTTGTGGCTTCCTCATTACAGCTCCTTTGGTCAGATCAGGTCACAGAGCAACAGAGGCTGCAGTGACACCTGTGGCGTCCTGGGCAGGAAGGACCTGCCCTCCCCCCCACTTGTTGACCATTGCCCAGGAATCCTAGTGGCAAACCTGACTGGACAGCTCTGAGCACACCCTGGCATCTCTCATTGGACAGATTCGGGCTCTGCCCCCTGCATCACAGAAGTCATCTAATAGGTGGCTGCAGGAAGCCAGATGGATGGCAGGCCCAGCTTCCTCCTGGCAACCAAACCAGGCTCTGTTGGAGGCACCAACACAATTGTCCACTGGCTTTCGAGAGCTACCCCTGGCCTCTTCTGTATTCAGTAGGCCCTTTCTGCCTCTTCCAGGTCACAAATGTGCACAGGGAATTCCAGACTCAGTGTCCAATGGAGAGATCTCCTTTCCTCAAAGCAAGAAGGAAGCCGAGTCAAAACCAGGCCACACTGGATGGTGAGGGAGGGCCTGATGTCCTCCAGGGATCAAGAATTTGAGATGGGGCAGTTGGTGCCATGACCAAGCCTTCTTCTCACCTTCTCTCTCAGTCCATTCATTTTCAGCCAGAAAAAAAAAACATGCCAACGTGGGAATAAAATTAATAAAGGTCTGGAAAAATTATTAAATGCTTAGTTATATGGCAGCATTATTCCATAAAGGAATCAAAAGGAAAGCAAACATTTGAACCAGCTCAGGCAAGCAGCCTTCTACACCCACAGTTCACAAGGACAACCTACATTCAGGTTTCACATATTCTTAATCTTGGGAGTGAGACTCTGACTACTGACATGGATCCCAGAGTTGTTCAGACCCTCCTGATGAGGGAGGGAAACCTAAGGACTTAACTCCGGGAGCTCAACATGCCCTCATGTACCCTCCACACAGTGTGGAAAAGCTGCCTCCTTCAAGACCTTCATTTGCACCTGCAGGAAACTCTCCCCTGGAGTCAGATTAAGGTTCTAACCTACACAAACTATCAAATACATAGACTCTTTCTCCAGGAGACAACCAAATGAGTCTTTATCTGACCCTGACCATCCTAGATTTACTTCATATATACAAATTACAGTTGGACTGCAGTGACCCGATGCGTGCCACAACAAACACACTGCCCAGAAAAT